AGGGCGCGGGGAGCGAGCCGCTCCTCCAGCCGAGCTGACCCAACACGGCGCCTTGGTGGGGAGAGCGGGGCTACCACCCAGACACCCAGAACCCGAGGCCCCGGGGCAGCTCCTGCCGTGCCACGGTCAAGGGCGCGTTTTCCGCTCCCAGAGTCTTTCCAGTGGTTTCTGTGGGAAAAGTGCTGTTTAACAAACCTGACAGCTACAACAGCCCCTGACAGCCGCCGCAGAGAGAAATTGCACGCGATGGGTAGAGTGTGAATAGAGTGGGTATGGTGTGATGGTGTTCTGTCTCCCCCTGAGCCAGTGAAGGAAAAGAGGTGAGGCTCTGGCCAGTTGTTGGTTACTCAGGGGCCGGGGAGCTCATCGTCTGTGTTTTCTCTGGGTCTCCACCTTTTTGCTGACCCTTTTGTTCTCAGGGGCCTCTGCCAGTTGCCACCTTCCCTGGAAAGCCAGACTGGGGGGAAATGAGAGGAAAAATCGTGTGCCTCTGACAGAGGGAGAGGGAGATTGCTAGACAATCCCACACACAATAGGATCATGAAATACCTTACACATTCATCCAGCGCTTTACAAGTTACAAACTACTTTTGTATACATTATCTCAATTACTCCTCACAGCAACCTGCTAGCTGTCTACCTATTAGTAAGTGTTAATTATCTATGAGACTATTAGTCCTGTTCTGCAGATGAGCAACTGCTCTTTATGGTGGCTGAGTGACAGAACCAGAGTCAGATCTTAGAATCACAGAACCATAGCGTCACAGAGTTAGAAGGCACCTTACCAGCAATAACCCAGGGCGTTCTTCTCTCAGAGCCTGAATCAACTTATAAGATCTCTGAGATTCCCCTCTTCTTCCTGCTTGGCCTCTTCCAATGGTGAGAAACTCACAACTCTATGAGGCAACCCATTATTAACACTGAGCAAAGCCCTTCAGCCCTTACCTCATTTGCCCCCAAGAACTACACCAGATGGAGGCAAATTCTGATTCCCCTTCTTTTTGAAATGTGGGGCTATCGCTCTTGCTCATCTCTTCCAGATGAAACACCTTCAATTCTTTCTACTGTTACTCATGATGATTCATGATGTACTTACCTGGCACAGTGCCTGAAATATACAGCAGATACTCAAATGTATGGTGAATTGGTTCTCTGGCCCTTGGTAGTATTGTCCTGGCCCTGTGCCCCTTCCCTGACCACAATTAGCCTCCATGTTGTAAGCTACTTCTCATTTGCTTGCTTATTTATTTAAATAATAGGGAGAAAGGCAGTAACGTGTGGTTTCTACTTTCAGATCAGAGTTTTCAGAATAACTTGGAAACATAATCAAAATTGGCCAGATTTCAAACAGCTTTCAATTAATTTGTGCTAACAGACTTGTGATCTGACTTCATTGCTCACTCCAGAGTTGCATTCACTGAGCATCTCCTGTAAGGAAGACACAAAATGGAACATTGTGGAGAGTGTCCCCAGAATTCAAGCGTGTTATGAAGGCCGGGTTAATGGGAAGTCTAACTGGAAGACCCTGCATGAATGCATTATGCTGCAGTGCTGCTCTGTCCGTTACAAGAAGCAACATTCAATTCTGGGCACCACCAGATTAAAAGACGCACCGTCTTGAGGGTTGCTGGAGTGGTGGGGGGTGGGAGGGATGGGGCGGCTGGGTGAGAGACATTGGGGAGGGTATGTGCTATGGTGAGCGCTGTGAATTGTGTAAGACTGTTGAATCACAGACCTGTACCTCTGAAACAAATAATACATTATATGTTAAAAAAAAAAAAAAAGAAGATAGCAGGAGGGGAAGAATGAAGGGGGGGAAATCGGAGGGGGAGATGAACCATGACAGATGATAGACTCTGAAAAACAAACTGAGGGTTCTAGAGGGGAGGGGGGTGGAGGGATGGGTTAGCCTGGTGTTGGGTATTAAAGAGGGCACGTTCTGCATAGAGCACTGTGTGTTATACGCAAATAATAAATCATGGAACACTAATCAAAACCTAATGATGTAATGTATGGTGATTAACGTAACATAATAATAAAAAATTTAAAAAAAGAAATATAGACCAGAATAAAGCACCATAAAAAGCTAAAAAAAAAGATGCACCGTCTTCCAAAGAGAGCTCTAATGGAAGCCCAGACTATTTTTAGCTGGTTTGGTGTGAGGGACAAGCACCGTGTCATTGTGATGAAGCTGTGTCATTCTCAATGAGGCTGAACTCAGCCATCTTCTTGCCTCTTATGTAAATGCTGTGCCAGGATGAATAGCACTGAGCTTACAATGCTGGTAACTGCAGGGCCAGGGAATAGAGGGTGAGTTGAGCCCTGCATTATAAAGGACAAGTAGTAAATTGCTACCAATCACAAGAGACTATGCTTACTCATTAAAGGCATAGCCCTAGAGGGGGCCTGATGGCAAATTAAGTCAAACCAAGCACCCCAAAACACAAGTCCAGAAAAGGATCTCTGGTTTAAATTATCCCACGATCACAGACTGAATTGAAAGCCATCTGAAATTTGTACAACTTGACCAAGTTTTCAAGTTGCTCTCAAAACTCTGTGGTTTGGAAGTAAATAATATGTTTTTTCCTTTCTATTACCTAAATAAACAAAACATTGAAAAACCTACTCTCTTTATATTGCCAATACCACTACTTTAGAAAAGGAGTTATATGAGCAGTTTTCTCCTCTCGAGGTTCAGAAAAAGCTGGATTTGAAAGGAGTTATTTCATATGAGAGTCTTAAGGGTGGAGGAGGTTTGAGACTGAGTGGTGACCTCCTTTCACATAGAGCATCCGCACCTGTCATCACATGGTAGGGGGTAGACTCTTCACAGGTGCAGCATGGAGGGAACTTCTAATCAAGCAGGACCCACCATTCAGCAAGCAGGACAGTCCCAAGTCAAGAGAAATAGTAGTAAAATATGGCAGAGGGTTCTTGCTGAAAGACACTCGGATGTCCTGGGGCCTGTGTCCATTATATTGCTGACTGTTTCTCTTTTCCTCTTCCGAACAACTCATCCATTGCCTTCTTACATAAATCCGTTAAGACCTTTGGGGTCCAGCTGGTCCAACACACTCAAGCGCAGAAAGTGAGGTTTGGAAAGGTCGTGTGGTTTGCAAAAAGTAGCAGACCCAGACACAGAAGCCAGGACTGCAGGCGTCCCGTCTGGCTCTCTTTCTGGTTTATCATGCTGTGCCTCCTAATGTCTGGGAAAACTCGTGCAGGAAATGTGTAGCCACCTACGGCTGGGAACGTTCACACCTTCACTCGAATGGTTTTTTCTACAGGCAGAGGGAGAGGTACTAATCTTGGAAGAGTATGGATTAAAGACCAAGATGAGGGTGCAGGGGAGTTTAGGAGAAAGAGCAAGGCAGGAAAGTGGGGGAAAAAGGAAAAGAAGGTAATAGAGAAATACATGAACGATAAAAGGGGGGGAAATGTAAGGGACAAATATGGAGAGGAGAAATTACCTAAGAAAAAGAAAAGGACTTTTTTCTTCTCCTGAGCAGCAAATGGAGGCAACTAAGGACTGAGCAGAAGTCAGAAAGAGGGAAGAAAAAAGAGCAAATAGAACCAGGAAAAGAGAAGAAACCAGAAAAAACATGAGAACACCAAGAGCTACCGGGAGTGAAGAGTGTGTACAGGGGGGTAGGCGTGCTGGGTAAAGAGAGGGATCCACAGAACGTGACCCATATGCGCGGATGGGGGCGGACAAGCAGGACGGTGAGAATTAGCACAATGGGAAAGGGCTGATGGGAGTGCTCAGTGCAAATGGAGGAAGTCAACGAGTGATCTTGAGTCCTACATAGATCCATGGAATTACTCCAGAATCAGCTCAACTATGGTTCTAGGGACTGGTATTACAGGAGACGACAAATTCCGTATCTATTAAACAAGACATCCAACCTCTTATCATTCACCTCCCCTGCCTCTGTCATCATTTACATAATTTGTTTTTACAAAATAGACAAACATTCACTCACTCACCTTGTGTGCCCTGGAAACCTTCCTCCCTGGGCTAGTTTCTTGAAAAATTTGTCAGTGCTTCCCAAAGGATGACGGGTCTCATAAGCCCCTGCATCACACACACACTTGGAAATGCCTTCCCAACTGGCAACAGTGGGATTTTCCTCAGGAAAAGCCAGGCCTCCGCCATGGCTAGGTGGAGCCCCAGAGGAAAATGTCACAGCGTTGTGAGAGCAACCAGGGAAAATATGAAAGCAATTTCCCAGAACTACTCAGGATAGCCTTTCTTGTACATTCTCCTGAGCTGTGAGGGAAATCCTGCCCTTCCTGTTAGGTCCTCCCACATTAGTGCCCATCTACCTCACACAGGTGTGGTTTGGGGGAAAGCCAGGCCATATGATTAGAGTAACAAAGCAGCACCCAGTCCTCTGCCTGAGTAAGCAAGGTACTCTCCACTGGGGAAGAGGAGAGCAAGGTGGGACATTTTCCTCCCAGGGCGATCAGCCTACATCACAAGCCTCTTTGAAATTTGTGATTTTAACAGAACTAGCTGCCAACCCAAGCTAAAGAGTGACTGCTTTCTAGAGCTGCCTCTACACTAGGAAGAACGGATAGGAATTAGAACCATGGCAGCTTTTTTTCCCCCTGTAAAACGCACATCACAAATAAAATCCCCTTTAGCCCTAGCTATCTATGGCCTTAACTCTTCACACAAGCTTGCAAACAATTTCACAACCATTCGCTTGCTCAAAATGTCAACCAGCCCACTTTCCAAAATGCAATCACACTTAATAAAAATGAGTTTAAAAAAAAAATCCCCTCCTGCCTTGCTTGCACCTGGAATGAGTTGCTACTGCAAGGTTGGGTTAATGCCACTTTCTGGGAGTCCTCTGAGAGGACAGGCTCCGGGAAAGAGTTTTTTTGCCCTTACAAGCCGAGTTAAGGCCAACTGTTGGCAGGAAGGCGTGGCAGTTGCCTTCTGAGTACTTACACAGGGTCCTGAGCCAGGTGGCTGTGCCCGTGTTAGCTCTCCCTCACCTCATGTACTCCCCATCACTCCTATAATCCATGAACGATTCTGATCCCGACACCTCCTCAAAATCCTCCAGCACCAGACTGGTGGAGTCCTCACCCAGGAGGCCGCTGTCGGGCCTGGACATCCTGGCCCGGGAAGGAGGTGCAGGGGGGCTGGCAGAAGCCGGAAGAGGAGAGCGAGGGGGTGTTTGCTGGGCGGATGTGGGTATGGCTGGTTCACGGGCTTCCTCATCATCCTTCTCCGACTCTGGCCCTGTATCGGAGGCCGCAGGCCCCAGGACGTGGTAGAGGCTGGGGAGGCGGATGTCGAAGCACAGCCCAAACTTGGCAAAGAGCTTGTCATTGAGAGCGTAGAGCTTCTCTGAGATGTCATAGCCCAGCAGGGCTGAGAAGAGGTGGGAAATGTATCGCTCTTTGGTCAAAAGAAGGTGGAGACTTTTCCGGGGCCAGGAAATGTAGCTACACGGGGTCTCGGCAGTCAGAGTGACCTGAGAGGGGTCCGGAGAAGAGAGTGAAGATTTAAATTAGACTAAATGTCCATGCTTAGCACAGAGAAACACACAGTTACTCAACAAACGGCTGCACTTTTGTTGAAGAAACTGTGGGAGCGCCCACCCTGGCCTTGCCTGGAGGAGGTCCAGTGAATGACTTTTACTTGTGTGCACTGATATGGAGGGTGTCCTTGTCAGCAGCCCTGGGTCCAGCCATCCACTCACTGGGCCTTCACCCCCTTGGAGCCTCAGCTTCCATGCCCAGTCTCCTCAGCTATCACATTCTGTGGTCCCGTGGCTGATACCGTTAACAGCTAAGGAAGGTTCTGAGTCTGTTATGATCTCGTGAGAGAGACGGGGCCTCCTACTGCCCTGAAGATAGGCTGGCGTGCTGATGACTGTTTTGAGAATAAAGAAGGAGAATATATTGCAGGAGGGATTAAGGACGAGTTGGAAAGCAATTCAGTTAGAGAAGAGCTTCTGATTAGGCATGCCAAGCTGCATCAAGTGGCAGAATGCTGGCCTGGAATTCAGGCCCGGGGAGCTACTCTTGACATGGCCATGACAAGTAACCAAAGAGATCCACTGGCTAAAGTCGGAAGAAGGGCAGGAAGGAAGAGGAGCTCTTAAGAGCACAAAGTCGAGGGCACCCCACTCTCCATTTATTTAGCCACGTGGGGATTTCTGAGCACTCACTGCGGGCCCACGACGCAAAGCTAAATTACACTTGCAGGGTAGGAAATGTGTGCCTGGCACGTAGCAGGTGCTTGATAAATCCTTATTAAAGCAATGAGTGGTAAAGCCAGGCTTAAACTAGAATAGTTTAACTAGGATAGTAAAGGAATAGGGTGTAGAATCACAATTTTTTATAATCAGATTGGCCACAATATTTATTTAAAAAAATTTTAAAGATTTTATTTATTTGAGAGAGAGAGCATGGGGGGGCAGGGGCAGAGGGAGAGGGGGAAGCAGGCTCCCCACTGAGCAGGGAGCCCGACACCGGGCTCAACCCCAGGACCCCAGGATCGTGACCTGAGGTGAAGGGGACAATTAACTGCCTGAGCCTCCCAGGCGCTGCATGGCCCCAATACTTTAGAAACGAGAAGGCCAGCAGGGCTCATGATGAAGATTTGTGAATGAGGACAGCGGAGATGATAATGATGATGACAGCAGCTAACATTTATTAGGAGGTGACTGTGCGCCAGGCATTGTGTTCAATTCTTCATGTGGATTTTCTAACTAAAGGTAGGGTTGACTTCCAACCATCCTTTATTAGGGATCTTCTATAATCCTTTTAATTCCTGCATTGTGTCCCAGAGCTCCCACTACCCTCCTCTCCGCTCCCCTTCTGCAGTACCCCGTGTCCACTTGCTTCACTCATTTTCTCCCCTCTGCTTCTCACCCCCTAATCCCCAGCACTGAAGTCAGGCCCCCAAATTACCTCATCAAGGCTGGGAGCTGCCTGCAAGTCCAGCTTTACCCCTTTAGCAGCTGTGTCCGACAAATTACTTAAGTGTCTCCGAGCACGCTGCCTCAGGAGAGAAAATGCAGAAAGTAGTACCCACAATCTGCCCCTTCCTAGCAGTTGAGCAAGGAGGTGTCGCTGTCTGCCAGGGCCCATGCTGGAGGTGCACTGACTAACAATTCCCAAACAAGAAATCAGAGTCCTGACCCTGAAGTGGGTGTGTATTAGAGCCACTCTGGACATGACCCGCGTCCTTGACGTCAAACACAAAGACCATGGGCATGCTTATGAACATGATCTTACTTCTTTCCATCTTAAAATAAACCAAAATCCTTTTCCTTCAGCTCGCTTCTTTGGCTAACTACCACCTCACTAGTTTACTCCCCTTCTCAGCAACACTCCAGGAAAAGAGTAGCCTGTACTTGCTGTCTCCAGCTCCTCTCCTCTCACTGTCTCTGAAACCAGCAAGGCTTTGTCCCTTGCAGTCCACACACACTGCTCCTGGTAAGGTCACCAGTGACCTCTACGATGGCGTGTGGCATCAGTTTTCCTGGTCAGCCCTGCTGAAGCTCCCTCCTCTTTGATGCGCTTTCTCTGCGTGGCTCGCAGGGTGTCTGGCTCTCTTGGGACAATCTCCTGGCAGCTCCTTTGAGACTTCCTTTTGATCTCTAGCTCCTACACACTAGAGTATCCCAGGGTTGGTCCGTTCTTAAACTCTTTCTCTCTCTAAACACACTCACTGAGTGATCTCATCCAATCCAATGGCTTTAAATATCATCTGTATGCCAAAACTCCCAAATCTGTATCTCAGGCTCAGACCTCATTCCTTAATTCTAGACTCAAATATTCAACTGCTGGTGCAGCATCTCCATTGAAATGTCCATAGATGACACAAATCTATTATATCCAAAAGTGAACTTCCTCTCTTCCCGCCTAACTGATTCTACCTGTAGGCTCCCTTGTTTCAGTTGATAGCAGCTCCATCTTTCCAGTTGCTCAGACCAAAAGCTTTAGGGGGCTGGTTAAATGGATTAAATGAAATAACATATGGAAAGAGGGCTCGGGTCCCGTAAGACACAATGTAAACTGGAGAAATAATGATGATTTCTGTGTGATACCTTCTATGCTATGTGCTTGGTGACTAACGAGAGGGTCACAGTGCTGAATAGTCAATAAGTTCTTATTTAATTGGATTGCTGAGAGGTGTGATGGAACATTGATTCATCTGTGGTAAACACAATGAGAATTATGATTCAGTCATGGTGGATTGCCCTATTAGTCTGCAAAGACTGTAACTGCAAAAGGCAAGGACCGGATGAACTACAACTCAGGACAACGCCTGACATTTGCAAAGAGAAAATGGGACTTTACATAGCCAATAACAAACGTGTGGATCTCATTGCTCCCAAAGGAGGTACGCACTAAAAATATAAATGGGAGGAATATGATGGTAACTACATTCCAGGCTGAGAGGCCATCCGGGGTTATAGCCTCTCCTTTCAAGCAGAGCTTAGGGGAGGACACCCGGCTTATCCCCCACCTGTTCCTCGGTGTCAGTGTCAGAAACAGGCTGGCTCAGGACCTGACTCGGTCCTCCTGGAGGTTCTTCGGGGCCTGAAGGAGTTCTCATAGAGGGCTGCTGGGCTGGTTGGAGAGGGTGGGGGTGTGTGTGGTGGGAAGGGAACATGATCAGTGGAGGCCTAGGGCTGGTGGCCCAGCAGTGGGATCGGGATTACCCCGCAGGGTCTGTCCTCATAGAGCCAGGAGTCAGGCTGGGGCAGAAACAGGCCCAGCCAGGTGGCCCTGCCTGGCATGTGTCTATTCTGGGGTTAGTTCCTATGCTGGCTTGAGGGACTCCCCGATAGAAGTGGTACAAGTCACATAGAACCCAGTACTAGTGAACTATCTGGACAGGGGAGTCCCTATAATAGGGTGTGTGTGTGTGTGTCTGTGTGTGTGTGTCTGTGTGTGTGTGTCTGTGTGTGTGTGTACTCCACTCTACTGGTGTCCTGCTCATTTTAAAAAAAGAACAGTAATAGTAGAGCCAGGCAACTTCACTTTGTCACTTTCTAGATGAAGACCTTGGGCAAACTGCTTGATTTTTTGGAACCTCAATGTCCTTACCTGTTAAATGGGATAATAATAATATCCACCCCAGAGGGTTGTTGTGAGAATCAATAAAGCAATATAATATTTAGTGCCTGACACATAGTAGCCATTCAGTAAGTGAGAGCTACAAAGCAAGGAACCAAGTTTTGAAGGATTGGCAGAGAAGAGAGCAGGGCCAAGCAGCCAGGCCCCCACCGTGGAGCACGGCAGGGACTGCCTCATAGAGTTCCCTGAGACACCAGCTGCCCACTGCCAAGCCAGGTCAGCAAACCTTTAGTGAACACCTACTGGGTTCAGGGTACTGTCCTTTGGAGCCTGGGAATAGAGAGAAGAGGAAGCCCAGATTTCTACCTCAAAGAGTCAGGAAAGGAAACCAAATCGTTAGAGCGGAGAGCAATCTGCGCCCCGGTCAGCACAAGTAAAAGGAATAGAAAGGCACACAGACAGGAACCTGAAGCTGTGGGGATTAGAAGCCGATGAGGTTAATCTGGGCAGGTCTCAGAGTAAGTAAGCTGCCATTGCCTCATTTGGGGGGGGCGGAAATGTATTTCAGAGAGAAGGTGCAGTAGGGGCCAAGCATGGCCATTGCAAAACACTGGGATGTGTTTAGAGAGTGCGGGTTTTTATGTTGTGGTCAGGGGGGTCTTCCCGAGTTTTCAGCCTCGGAGTGACATGGCCTCTCAGGGGTTAGCACCTCCCTGCCTCCATCCCCTGCCGGCAGCCCAGGCCCTCTTTCCACAGAAGGAGAGTGCTCCCACCCCTAGCATCACATTGGCAGTGGTTCAGAGAAGAGATGTGAGTGGAGAAAGCTGGAGGGGGGCATATTCCTGGCTCACAGTGGGACAGGGTGGGCCAGAGCCGCCACAGGCTCTGGATTACCTGGAACACTCCCTCCTCCGAAGGCTGCAGCGATTCCCACTCAGGAGAGTCCATGAACTGGTAAGGGAAGATGTAGTGCAGAAACTGCCCATCCTGGCTCACACGAACCCTGGCAAAGGGAGAGAAGAGACCGTGTGGGAAAAGGAAAGTGGCCACCCAAACCCTCTTCAGTCGAAATTATGTATTTAGAAATGGAAAATGGTTAGGATCCAATATGGGCTTTTTCCTCTTTCCCCCGGAAAACTCAAGAGTTTCAGCTTCAATCTCTCTCTGACACTGAGTTATACCAGGAAAGGAGGTGTCTCTAGCAAACAAAGGGGGGGCGCAGATAAAGGGATCTCTGAGGTACACTCTGTCCATCGGGAAGGAGCTGTTGTTCCATTTTTTCCCCCTGGAGCTTTACTGGCTACATACACATGCATGGAGCACTCCTGTGTTCCTGGAGGTCTAGAAAAGCAGAGATGGGTATGATCTGATCCCTGTCTTTAAGGATTTCACAATTTAGTGGAAATCACAGACGTGTGCATAACTGGCTGTAAGTCAGTGTGTGCCCTTGTGGAACCGGAGACTAGAGGAGGGACAGAGACTAGTTCTCTTCAACTGGCAGACTGCTCAGAGATGACATTTGAGCTGACTTTTGAAAAACAAATAGGACGCTGAGAAGCCGATGAGGATGGGGATAGATGGAGGCGTGGTAGTCCGTCCCCTATCTGCCCTTTCCTTTCCTCCACAGTACTAGAGTTTTAGCGAGGATTGCGGCTGATCAGCTAGAGCGCATTTCCCTACCTCCCTTGCAACTAGGTATAGCCACGTGATTAAGTTCTGGCCAAATGGGATATTAGCGCTCCAAATCTTGCTCCCAATGCATGGCTGCATATATGCATGGATACAAATTACCAAAGACCATCACCATTTAATAAGCTATTGCCTTTTGTCTGACAACTTAAGATGGAAGACAGAAGGGGATGTAGCTCTCACACCAAGCCAAGGATGTGGTGTCAGCCCATAGTCTCCGATGGCAGAAACACAGGTGCTCCTACAAGACCAGGTGATATATAGAGATAGCCGGGCAAAACTTCCCGGAGTAATAAAAGATACAAGAGAAAAGGAAGTGCCATGCTCTCCTACCTCAGGGTCTCCACATAGTCTGTCCCCTCTAGCTGAACCTCTTCCCAATCCCCACTGTCTCCCCAGGTCTCAGCTTAAACATTCCTTCTTCCAGGAAGTTTTGTTGACCGCCCCAGAAAAGTTAGCTCCACCAGGTACATGCTCTGACTGCCCTTTGCATTTTTCCTTGGAAACATCATGTCTGTGATTCGCCACTATGTCAGGCATTATTGATTTTCTTGATAGACAGTAAGAACAGTATTTTTCATATTTTAACACTGGATCCTTAGTCCCGAGTGCTTTTAATAAATATTTTTGAAGGGGGAAAGTAAGAAAAGAAGGTAGGAATGGAGGGAGAAAGGAGAGAAGAAAGGAACAGATTGAATAGATTGTGTGAACTCACTTGTGTCACCATAAAAGGGGACCAACATCTCAAGGAAAAGCTTCTCGAATACAGGAAGAGAGATAGCAGGAGAGAACAAAGCTGCTGCTGGATACACCAGACCCTCTTACCAGCTCCTCGGGCAAGGGATCTGACCACTTGAGCAAACTACGAGGAGTGTCATCATTTAAAGTATAACATCTAATGAGCCCACATGGCTCACCGAAGCCATTTACATTGGTATATTATGCCCTTTATCATTTAGGTCTCTTCTTCCTTCTTGATCCCCTGGATGACAGGTATTTCCTCCCACATGAATAGCTTAGACAGTTCTAGGAGGCTGTGCATGAGAGAATTTTGTAGGAGAGAAACTCACCAACAGTAAGCCCAGCTTAACAAGGTGACAAACTTTGGGGAAGTCACTTGGGCTTTCTGAGTCTTAAAAGGGACTGGTTGCATATATTAAAATAGAACAGAAAGGGCATCTGAGGTTTCAGCAAAGGGCTCCAGATGAGAGCCTGCACGTGATATGGGGGAGGTCCACACAAGAAGCCCCTACTTCCTCGCACAGCGTTCTTGTACACCTTTGAGGTATTGGGTACCTCAACTGCCACCAGCCCAAGGTACAATGACTCTCCTTTAAAACTGGAGCCTGGTCGCAGACAAGAAGCCTCTTCTCCCAGCTCCCACTTAGCAAAGTTGAGACAGGATGACATGGAAAGATAATAAATAAAACTCTTACTCCAAACCTTGAAAAGCAAGAAAAAAAACCTGTCTAATTTCTGACTCAGGTTTTTGGTGCTAAGTATACTAGGAAAAGCCACACTGAGGGGGCAAGCCCACCTCTCCCCGTCACAGGGAAGAGGTCTTCTACAAATTCATGGTAAATTCATCATATTAAAAATAGATTAAAAATATCATATAATAATCATACACCATACAAGTGCTGCGGGCCTGTCCCCCACCTGTCTCAGCTCCCTCCTCTGAACAGAAGAGCTATGGGCAGCAAATAACATCCTGGATCTCCTGAAGGAGAACATTTCTTAAATTGTCTTTATTTTATTTTGGAAGAGTTTTATTTATTTATTTGTCAGAGAGAGAGAGCACAAGCAGGGGGAGCGGCAGGCAGAGGGAGAGGGAGACGCAGGCTCCCTGCTGAGCAGGGAGCCCGATGCGGGGACTCCATCCTTGGAGCCTGGGATCATGACCTGAGCCTTAATCACCTGAGCCACCCAGGCGTCCCAAATTGTCTTTACTTGAAGCATGGAACTGTAGGCGGCAAACATTTTGGCAACAGTGATAATGTACTTCTGTTTACACATGTATTTGTTTACAAATAATTCCATTTGTTTACACTTCAATTTATTCATAAATGAAATGACATGTCTCCCCACAAAAATCTCATAGATCATTCAACCCAGGACTCTGAGGCCAAACAAAATCTCCTGTATACCTAACACTTTTGATTCTACACAGTAGTGCAGAAATGCACGTTATTACTACCAGTAGTCATTGTAGTACCATCATCATCATTCTGAAACCTTTTTTTCCCTTTTTTCCCCACCTTGGAATCAAGCCTTCTGATAAGATTACGATCTGACCTTTTCTATCACCGTCTCTTGGTCTCAAAAAAGCAGGGAAAGAAACTGAGAACAAAGCTTTTGAAATACTTTGCTTGCTTTCCATGGAGGTAGCCCAAGTGTACCAGGTTACATAGTTTACTGTTTGATGCTCAGCCCCACATGTAAGTCCCACCAGGGCAGTATTTCGAAGATTCCACAACCGCCTCCCAAATGTACAGCATGGAGACCCGTGGTATTTGTTCGGAAGATGTCAGCCAATGGCCAACACTCACGTATAGGCTGATTGGGCATACACTAACCCTAAGACCACTTCTGCTAATTTCTGCTGTCACCCATCCTAAAAGGAATCAGCCAGGTACCTCTGCCAAATCCTCAATGAGACACGTATGGGCATCACTACTCTTCCTTCACTGTGTGGTCTTCTTGGTACTTGATCACTGGTTTGTAAGAATCTCAATAGAACAAATAGGAATGGAAAAGTGGACAAGGAATATTCCCTCTCTCCACCTCGTTGTATACCAAATGGCTTTCCCACAGAGTCTATATAGGATATCCTCAACATAATTGGGGCTCTTTCCTTGATGCCCTGGCAAGGTATAGGCACTGTTCCCTGCACATAGTCAGCACTTAGGAAATACTGAATGCATATGGGAGGAACAAATCAACCTTATTGTAATGTTCACTTTTTCAAAGCTTACAGAGATACTGTGGCAGCTTAAGCACGACCTGCTGATGTGTGTAATACGTGTGTGTGTGCATGTGTGTGGTCATTTTAGGCCCAGGCTCAAGAAACACTCACCCCACACCTCCTAGCACCAAGTGCACACACAGTCCTTCCTGCCAACCGAGAAGCTATCTCATGATCTTGTTTCCTCTTGGAAAATGCTAAGAAAGAGGAACCAAACTCATGCTTAGAAAAAAAAATCTGTTTTTGTTTGTTTGACTTGCCACATCCTTCCCTCAATGGAAGGGGGCTCAGAATGGAAAGGGACACACTAGGAAATGAGAAGCATGGGCAGAGGGAGGAAATGCTGAGACATGACTGAGTAGCTTACCGGCCAGAGAGTAGCAGGGACAGGCGGTTGATGGGTGTCTCGCCCTCCACAGCGTAAGTCTGCTCAGTGGCCAAAGTCAAGATCTGCTCCTCACAGCAGTGAACAATCTCCTTGTACACCTGCAGAGGCACCTGCAGGGGTAGACACAGTGTCTTGTAGAGGACTTCAAACTCCTCAGGGAGGGTGTTGCTGCGCAGGCGGTAGATCAGGTAAGCCAGCTGGAGCAGGCAGGCCATTGCCAGCAGGAAGCTCCAGAGGATGATGTCCAGGCCGCAAGCATCAAACCAGCCCCACATCACACAGCACACGTAGCCCGTGCCCAGGAAGCCAAAGAGGTAGAAGCATCCATACACCCCGCTGCCCCCCATGAAGCCCAGGAGCAACAAGCAGTTGGCCAGATGGTAGACCGCCCCTTCCAGATCCCGCTTCCAGCCAACGCACATGGGGCCCTGCCAGAGAAGCTGGCTCATGGCGTGGCTGTTAGCACTCATCTTCGGGGCGTCTCAAAGCCTTGCCAGGGCTCTAAGACTGTCCCCACATAGGAAATTCAAAAAATGGATTAGTCTGTCCTCCCAGGAGGTCTTCTCACGTCCGGCTTCTAGCCACCAACTCCACCTTTCCTGAGAGGAATGCCTCCAGGAGCTTTGGGAATAAATGGCAGAGCATAGCACACTTCATGGAGGATTTTTAAACTTGTTTTCCTCTCTCTGTTTCCTTCAGCAAGGCTCTGGCCCTCTCCGCAGAGCTCTGGCGAGCTTCCTTGGCTCCAGGTTTCTTCTTCACATTTGGCTCTCAGCGGCAAACCTAAATTGTCCCGAGGCAAAGCTAGGACTCTGGGGCTGAAAACTTTAGCTGTGAGGGATAAAGTGGCCACATCCTGCTCTCGGTTGTCCCCACCAGAATGAGGAGAGCCCAGCACGGGAGGCACACTTGTGTTCCATTTGGAATGCGTCTCTCTTGGCACCAGAAGGAAGGGTGACCCCAGATGCATACCATGTTTGGAATTGGAATCCAAGAGGTACTGGCAGTGAGAAAAAACAGGCCAGGCACACAGGCAGGCTGGCAGGGCACTTAACATATCTCCCCGGAGGACAAGACCTCTGAGCCAGGGAGGCAGGCAGGGGAGAACAAAGGAAAAGTGATCGCAGAATTTACCACAGTGCCTCAGGCAGGATACTGTTCAGAGTTCCTGTGGGGAGGGCTAGGGGCTCTCCTGGGGTAGGAGGACACATCAAAGTAGGAAAGTAGGGGACTATTATGAGAAAAAATCCTAACAGTGAGAACTGGAAAACCCCTCAGAGCCTGTATTAGGTCACATTATAAACATTACTAGGCATTTATTTGACATCCATTAAACAAAAATGACTATGCAAGGGAGCTCTTTGAATTCTAAGCTGACTTTCTCCTGCTTATGTCTGGATCTAATAATAGTTAATACAATGGTAAGACATTACTCAGACCATCACCCTACCCATTATTTGCAAATTATAATAACTGCCACCTATTAAATACCTACCAAGGGCCAGACCAGGATTAGGTATTTTACACACATATTATTTAGTCATCACACAACCCTTCCAAATAAGTATTGTCCTTCTTCTAGATCTGAAGGAAACTGAGGCTCACAGAGGTAACAAGTTCCCATAGGCAGTTAAGTGATCCAGCCAGGATTTGATCTCAAGTCGGACTCACTGCTGCGTGCCAAGTAGTTTGCTCAGTAAGTGGAAATAGACTAGATCCATGACTCCCAACCCCACATGCTCCCCGCTCCCGGAAGTCTGATGATGTCCATGGAACTTCTGGATGAAACTGGCATCTATTTTGGGTCATCAGAAAATAAATCTGGAATATGCAAACATTAAGACATGTCCCTCGGGCTTCCAAATGACTCCTTGATTTTTTTTCCCTTGCTGCTAGTTAATATTTATGATCAGTATTCCTATTGCCCCTGAGATGGGGGGGACAGGTACTCAGTAAACCATCTAGAACTATTTGAGTACTCAATCCATAGGGACTTTTATTATACTGCTGATAACCTAACTAAAATCAGTGAGAAATTAGAAATTGGCAAATATGCCGAGGAGTAGAAGTTTCAACTCAACAAATATTTACTGGTGCTTACTATGCGCCAAGCACTTAGAGAATCAGATTCCTAAGAGCTTTCACTGTATCAAGGGAAAGATATTTCAAAAAACAATGGCAATTCAGTGTGTGAAGCACAGTAACTGAGTTAAGCTTAAGGAGAGGTGGCTGCCTGGAAGGGAGAGTGGTGTACAGGAGGGAAGACGTAAGAGCTAACACTGGATTTGAGGTGTAGGCATTGAATGAACCAGGTAGGTAGAGGGAGAAGAGCATTTTTACTGGTGAGAACGGCAGAAGCATAACCACAGAGTTGTGAAAATGCAAGGCATGTTGAAGGAAGCCAGTTTTTTTTTTTTTTTAAGATTTTATTTATTTATTTAAGAGAGAGAGGGAGAGAGCAAGCAAGCGAGCATGGAGGGGGTTGCAGAGGGAGAGGGATAAGAAGACTCCCCGCTGAGCAGGGAGCCTGATGCAATGCAATGCCATGCGATGCAGGGCTCAATCCCAGGACCCTGAGATCATGACCCGAGCCCAAAGCCGATGCTTAACCGACTGAGCCACCCAGGAGCCCTCTTTTTTTAAAAATTAAAATCAACTGATCAACAGATGTGTATTTTATTCCCTTCTTTCTAAAGTTGAGGGGGTGAAAATCGGTGGTAAAGGAAAAGAGCTGGAGCGCGTAGAGAAGGAAAGACCCTGCCCCCAGTCTTCCTCACAGCAATGATTGGGATGTCATTTGAGCAGTAGAGTTTGGGGATTTCCATATGTTGCTTTTATGTCACCTGCCTGCCTCCCAACCAACCCACTGACTTGAGCAAGCAGCAGCTGTTCATCCCTCCACCTTAGTCATGCACCCAGAGCTGCCAGAGTGGCTATTCCTGCTAGCTGTGAGCCAGGAAATCAGAAGCAGGAAAGGAGAAGCAACCAAGGCTCTGCCCAAGATAGAATTTCAAAGCAGGTCCTCTTTCTCAGCAAGCCTGACGAATGGGCCGGCCCTGACCCGTTAAAGAGACAGGCAGACCCACTGACTGTTATTCTCAGCCTCCCTTCTTTGTCAATCCACATACCTGCTCATCTGAGGATGCTAACATTTATCAAGCAGCTACTGTTTCCTCATGTCATCCCACGGTAACTTTTTTTCTTTTCAATGGAAGAAACAAACTCAGAAAGGTTAAGGAAGGTCACAGAGCTAGTATGTGAACTAAAGCGTAGGTCATTTAAATTGTATGTTCTCTGTGTTGTCCCACCTTGCTAGGTACCCTCGGGAGTTTATATGTACCCATATACAGGCTCCTTTATTGCTCCAGGGGATTTGACTCTGCTGCTGGGGGTGGGGGGATGGCATCACCAGTGCATAAAACCCCCCAGGCTACCTGCAATGACAATGACATTGATGCCTGAAGGATGGGACCTGTGACGGGAATATAACAATGCCAAGTTGTATCTTGTTTTTAAAACCACATTTGATAGAACAGGAAAAAAAATTTGTGTAAAAATGGTATGTTCTTTTTAAAAAATCAATCAATCAATCTTTTAAGTAATCTCTATACCCAACATGACCCTGAAATCAAGAGTTGCATGCTCTACCGACTGAGCCAGCCAGGCGCCCCAGAGTGGTATGTTCTTATAAGGAGATCCACAAACATGCAGGTAGAACAGTAGAAAATACTGGGGGAGAATAAAAGGAAACAAAGAGAAGTCACATCGTCCCATCATTTGTTGAGTTGATTCAATTCAATAAGCATTTATTTAGGCAAAGTATGTGCGCCAAGCACAGGGGATATAAAGATGAGCAAGACAATTGTCGCTTTCAAGGAACTGTTGGTCTAATGAGGGAGACTGACCCAGGAATAATTGCAATCCCAAACAAATATATTTGGGGGTCAAAGGAGGCACTGATCCGGGAGAAAGAATTCGGAAAAAACATCACAGGGAAGGTGACATTTAAGCTGGCCTAAAAAGATGATGAGGTGTTCCCCAACTAGGAGGAGGACATTCCAGGAAAGGAGAACAGAATGTGAAGTCAAGCCCAGAAGTAAAACAAAAATACACGACAGAGTATAGCCTGCTGTGGGTGAATGAAAAGGAGCAGTAGGGGGCGCCTGGGTGGCTCAGCCGGTTAAGCGTCTGCCTTCGCTCAGGTTATGATCTCAGGGTCCTGGGATCGAGCCCCACGTCGGGCTCCCTCCTTGGCAGGAAGCCTGCTTCTCCCTCTCCCACTCCTCCTGCTTGTGTTCCCTCTCTCTCTGTCTCTCTTTCTGTCAAATAAATAAAAAGAAAAAAAAAGAAAAGAAAAGAAAAGGAGCAGCAGGACTTGAGGCAGGAGAGGCAGGCCAGGCCAGGTTATGAAGTCAGCAGGCTGACCTGGCTCTCCGAATACGGCTGTGAAAGACGACTGGTCTGTGAGCTGTTACTGGTCCATGATGAGATCCGGACAGAAACTGAGAGAACCGAGACATTTTTTATAGCAATTTGACAGAGGGAATTCTGGCCTTTTAATGCAATATAAACTTTGGGCTTGTAGAGTATATGTGTTTTTTAAACTGAATTTTTCCCATCTTCCTAGTAGTGGTTGTTAATTGGAAAAAATTAAACCACGTATAGTTTGAAAAGCACTGAGCTTGAAATTAATCCTTTCCTAATATCTGTTAAAACAGGACAGAGGCATGATCTAGGCTTTGGACACACACTGCCAAGTTAACCTTAGGCAGACACTACTTGTTTGTCCTGTAGCCATTCTCCATTTTCCCCTAGTTTATGGAACTGTGATTTTGCTTGGGCAGTATGTTAAGGAAGGTGGGCTTCTCCCTCAGTTGCCAGAGCCTGAAATAAGACTGGTCAAAGCCAGGCGTGATATGCTATTCCCCCTCGATGGCAACTGCCTTACAAGTGGGCATGTGACTAATGGGATATAAGAGGAAGTGTGTGTGGGAGCTTCTGGGAAAAAGACTTCCTGACAGTGAGAAGGCCTGCTACCTTCTATCCTGGCTTGACCAGCGCAGTGCCATGATGGAATGCTTGAAGCTACCATGAGATATCATATACCTAAGGATGAGAAGGAAAAGAGCTGAAAAATAGAACAAGTCACACTTCTCCCAAGTATTACTGAGTCACAGTCTCAGATCTGGAACTTTCAACCTCCAGACTTCATGACAGGAGGTAAACTACATTTATTGCTTAAGCGCTGTAGTTAGGTGGTCCAGTACTTGCCGATGAATGCTTCCAGATTCAGATCTCCCGTAGGATCTCCAGAAGGACCACTCTTCAGGAAACAGTTCTCTGAACATCTGCTGATTGTTTTATTCTGTGAAAACTTAACATCAGACAACTTCTTGTGTTCTACTAATACATTTCTCTCAAAAGTTTGAGTAAACTATGAGGGGAAATGCTCCTTTAAACTCAATTTGACCATTCAGGATGTCTTGGTTGTTAGTGGACAAGGTAGTTTAGTGGAGAATTGGTTGCCTACTCAAAGTCCATCTACCCCTTCCTCCTTGTTAGGGAATTCCAGTTTTGTGCTGATAACTATAATTACACATGGATCCAAGGGTGGTGGTGGGGTGGGGGGTGGGGAGTCCTGTTTAAGCCAATCAGCCTAAGGCATTCTGTTTGGCAACTATTATTGGTCCATAAAAATACATATAACCTAATTTGTCTCAATCAGACTTTAAAAAAAGGGATTTCATATTTTGGGGATGGTTTCTTTCTGCTGAACTTGAACAAGAAAGTACATGGTTTCATAGGTTCTGGAAGAAAGAGCTCTGAAATGAAAACAACTTGAGTCTTGAATGGTATCATTGAACCTATGACATCATTGCATC